GGAAAAAAATTCCAAGATGTGGAATACTACTACTTTATGACCATTGTTAAATAAATTAGAGTTTAATTTGAATACAAAACTATAACCATGAACAGTTGGTCTGAAAACCTGTACAGGTCTAAATGATAACTAATGGGTGGGTACTGAATGCAGTGTGGATACACCACTGAACAAAAGTAATGCATGTATGCGGCAGGAGGGAAAAGGATGATGTAATTTTCATCATACGGAGATTGGCATGAAATATAGAACATTAGTTCTAGAGCTTTTTAGTTAATATTTTCTGATCATAATTACTCTGGATAACTAAAACCATGGAAAATGAAACTGTGGTTGGAAGATGGTATTTTGTAAAAGCTCCTTTTATATTCACCAACCAGCTTCACTAGGTGACACAATAGTTTTTTAGTGTGTGTGTGTGTGTGTGTGTGTGTGTGTGTGTGTGTGTGTGTGATGGTACTTGGGATTTGAACTCAAAGTCTATGCACTCTCACTTAGAATTTTGCTGAAGGACTTTTCTGCCCACACTGGCTTTGAACCAGGAACCTTAGATTTCCGTCTCCTGAGTAGCTAGGATTATAGGCATAAGCCATGGTCTCCCAGCAAGACTCAATAAGTTTTATTCAATGAACAATTGTATTCAATGGTTATAGTTTTTCTATTCAAATTAAATGTTGTTTTATTTAATAATAGTCCTGATGTGTAAGAATAACCTATTCCACATCTTGGTTTCCTTATTTCCCATAATGAAATTAAATGATCAACAAGAATACCAATCTCAAGATTATTCTTCATATATATATACATTCATCTCTAATACAGAAAAGTAGAATCTTTTTAAAATTCATATGAACATGATAAATACCAAACACTGCTTTTTTTTCTAGCAGGCAATGAAAACAAATATGTGAATCTGACATAAATCACAGTGTCCCTAACATCAAGTCAGTCCTGTTATTTATGCAAGCCTACAGAAACAACTGTTTCTTGTATTGATTATAAAACAAACTAGTGACTCATGCCTATATCCTTACCTATCCAGAAGGCTGAGATCTGATGATCCAGGTTCAAAGCTCGCCTGAGCAGACAAATCTGATAGACTCCAACCAGCCAGCAAGAAATCAGAACTGGAGGCATGGTAGAGCACCAGCAGTGATTCAGAAATTGGATTAAGAGCTCAAGGCCCTGAGTTCAAGCCCTAGTACCAGTACAAAGTAAAAGAGAGAGAGGGAGGGAAAGGGAAAGAGGGAGAAGAATAAATAGAAAAAATTCTGTAATATAGAAAACAACTATCATAATAACATATGGTTTTAATAAGTAGAGATTCCAATTTCTAGTTTTTTTAAGTTTTTACAACAGTATTAGAGTTTTAAATCTGGGTTTTTTGTTATAGCACTTGAACTGCATCCCGAGCACTTTCTTTAGCAATTTTTCATATATTAGTTATACTATGTGGGTTTTACTGTGGCAGTTTCATAGTTATATACAGTATTGTAGCTACTTTTTAAGTAGGGTCTCATGCTATCTGCCTAGGCCAACATCAGACTGTAATCCTCCGCTGTATACCTCTGATATAACTGAGATTATAGGCATGCGTCTGCATATACCTGGCTTATTTTATTTGATGGAGTCTCCTTTTCCCTAGGCTGGCCTCAGACTGTGATCCTGCTGAATTTTCCATCCTGAGTAGCTGGGTTTATAGTCCTATGCCATCCTGCCTGCCCTCAAAAGCTATGTTTGAAACACCATTAAATACATAACCTATAAATTAAGAAAAGTGAGGGAAGGGTAGGTTGGAAAGGGATGGATGAGTGAGAATGTTGAAAGAGGAGAGAGACATTGGTTACGAAACACTGTATTCATAAACACTGTATTCATAAGCTTTGTTGAATGGCAACTCCTTTGTACAACTACTTAAAGCTAATAGAAACATTCTAAAAAATCTTTGCTATAGATAGGAAATACAAAACAATTCTTTGGTATGACATTACCAGTTTTTTTCTAACTTTCTCCTCACATTCTGATATTTACTCATATTATTTTGACAATTTTCATGTTTGTAACTTTCACAGGTTTCATTTTTTTGTAATATTAGCCCTTTTCTGATGTGCTCTTTGGGAGTTTTTATTTTGAAACAATTGGCAAAGTTTAAATTTTGTGGCTTTGAATAAAGTAGACTGTTTTGTCTTTTAGCAGGTGATTTGTTTTCTATACATGAGTTGTTAGATGATTAATTATTTTTTATATTACATGAACAATAATTTAACCAGGAGCAGAAATGGGAACAGATTTGTATATCTGCATATAAACACATGTGGAATCATATTTTTCTTCTAGTGTTTAAAACAATCCCTATGTGGAATATCTATGGCCTTGGTTGAGCTAGTAGAAAGAAAAAGCTAATAAAATATAGGCTCTGACTAGTTGTACTTGGAAGACACATATCATTTCTTGTTCTATTGGACAAAGCAAGTCATGGGTATCTCACATCAGTGGAATAAAGAAAGGTATTTTATATTCCTCAGGATATTTAATATAGTCTGACAGACATTTGTAAACTGCTAGTGTTAACTAGCAGTTAATAAATAGGGAGTTACTTAGAGAAATACATTTTTTCTATCAATTATTCAGTCTATTAAGTTTGATCCCCTTAAAGCTACATTAATAGTATTTCTGAAGCTATCAAACATGCAAATCAATCATGAGGTCTGGAGTAAAGCCTAAGACCATGCATTCACAACCATTTTCTAGGTGATATAATATTGTTGGCCTTGGAATACATTTTCGAAGAAGAAGGCTCTAGTGGTTCAAGCCACCAAACTACAAGCCCTTGTGTGCATATTGTGACCTTTAAGGGCTAGATGGAGGAAAGGGATACTAAAGGCAAACATTAATGGTTAGGAGATCGAGGAATGTGAGATTATTCCTAATAAAGGAAAAGAAGAGAATGCAGAAATAATTAGTTGGATGCCTGTAGAGATTAAGAAAATAAAAGTTGAAAAAAACCAACCAAATATACCACTTTGTTTCAAAGCAGGTATAGTGAATTGGTGAAGAGTGCTGACTTCAGTGCACTTGTAGAATCAATAGAAGGTAATGGAGTAGACTGTAAAAGTGGATTGTTTTAAAGGCTCAGCTGAATAGAAGGATAGGGTAATATTTAAAGGAGGATAAATTTAGAGTTCAGCTGAGGAAAACGTGGAGAGGTTTGTTTTCCTTTTGATTATGGATAAAGTGTCAAAGCGAGTGAAAGATTGGAAATATTTTGTCCAGTATTTCACTGTAACTTGAATCAGAAAAGTAGAAGTAATATATCTTTGTTTTAGAAGAACAAGACAAGGCCATGTTTCAGAGTTTACAGATACTACTTTTAAAAAAAACATAAAAACTGTTTTAAATGTAATGAAGAGATGTGAAGATGCAGTGAAATTAATAAAGACTTGGTTTGAACTGGGTGATCAGGAATTTTTTTTTTCTTTTTTGCTGGTCCTGGGGCTTAAACTCAGGGCCTGGGCACTGTCTCTGAGCCTCTCTGGGCTCAAGGCTAGCACTCTACCACTTGAGTCACAGTGACACTTCAGGCTTTTCCTGTTTAGGTGGTACTGAGGAATCAAACCCAGGGCTTCATACATGTCAAGCAAGCACTCTACCCTAAGCCATATTCCTACCCCCCCTGATCAAGAATATTTTAAGACAGAGTTTTCCAACTAATTCAGCTCCACTTCTGGCATTTTTTTGATGCTTACTTGGAGATAAGAATCAAGGAGTTAGGGCTGGGAAGGTGGCTCAGTGGTAGAGCGCTTGCCTTGCATGCTCAAGACCCTGGGTTCGATTCCTCAGCACCACATAAGCAAACAGAAAAAAGCCGGAAGTGGCACTGTGGCTCAAGTGGTAGAGCGCTAGCCTTGAGCTGAAGAGCTGAGGGACAGCGCCCAGGCCCAGAGTTCAGGCCCCACGACCGGACCCAAAAAAAAAAAAAAAAGAATCAAGGAGTTTATGTGTTCTGACTTTAAACTATTATCCTCAGATCTCAGCTTCCTAAACAGCTAAGATTACAGGTGTGAGCCATCAGTGCCCAGACATTTTAATCATTTTTGAATGAATGTAACTTGTATTTTATCATTTCAGTGCCATCACTATAGGAAGAACATGAGATTTAACAGTAGTAAAAAATTAAACTTGAAACAAGTAGCTTACTTTTGCTGATACTCAAGTAAAATATGTTGATAAACACATGCTCTCAAGTTTAATGCATAAAAATACTTATATATGAAAATATACTTGGGGCTGGGAAGGTGGCTCAGTGATAGAGCGCTTGCCTTGCATGCATGAGGCCTGGGTTCGATTCTTCAGCATCACATAAGCAAAAAGAAAAAAGCCAGAAGTGGCACTGTGGCTCAAGTGGAAGAGCGCTAGCCTTGAGCTGAAGAGCTGAGGGACAGCGCCCAGGCCCAGAGTTCAGGCCCCACAACCGGACCCAAAAAAGAAAAAAAGAAAATATACCTAAATTTAGTTCATGGTATCTAAAGGAAGATAATTTATTGATAATCCCTTTTACGTAATGATGATATACAAAAAGACTATACACATGAGTCAAAGTAGGTAAGTTTTTCTCTTGTGTGGATTAGTAGTATCATTACAGACATTTATTAGTTAAAAATAATACATACCTTTACTATATATTTAAAATACATTTTCAAATATAGTGTATTATAATCAGGTTGAATATATAAAAAGAAATGGTCTATGTGTTAATATTTAATAACTTCGTTTCTGTTGACAGTATTTATTTTGAATTGACTTTCTGTTTTTTACCGTAGTTCATATTGTTCAGCCACAAAAGCAAGCAAGGAAATATGTACCTTTTTTTGATAGTTGGGAATATGATGTTTTCCCCCCTCATAATCAAATATCAGGGCCCAGTAAGTGCTTTTTAATCTTTGGCATTGCTTTGAGAGGAAAATGAATTTAATAGAATTTTTTTCTCATTTTTTTTTCAGACACTGGACAAAAGAAGACCTTAGACAAGAAAGATGGGAGACGGATGTCTTTTCAGAAACCTAAAGGGACTATTGAGTATACTGTAAGTTACTTGCTTTTGGGAAAGCAAATTATTTGTGTAATGGCCTTAAGATATTTTCTGCTTGTTACAGAATAAAGCGAGGATTGTAAATTGTCTTTTTTAATAAAATAAAATAACTTATTTAATAATAATTTCTAAATTCTTAATTACATTTTAGCATTTTTTCCCTAATGAGAAACTACAGTGAGCTACAAAGATAGTCATTTCAGCAAATTTAATTGATATTGCTGATGGTTTACTTGAAGTTCAAAGATCTTAGACTACAATAATTTTATTTTATTATTTTTTTTGGGGGGGGTCCAGTTGTGGGGCCTGAACTCTGGGCTTGGATGCTGTCCCTCAGCTCTTCAGCTCAAGGCTAGAGCTCTACCACTTGAGCTACAGCACCACTTCCGGCTTTTTTCTTTTTGCTTATGTGGTGCTGAGGAATTGAACCCAGGGCCTCAGGCATGCAAGGCAAGCGCTCTACCACTGAGCCACCTTCCCAGCCCCTACAATAATTTTATTAGATTAGGATTTTAGGGGAAAATATGCTTCTTAAGAAATGTGATCTTCCTTATGATCTCACATACAGAATCAGTATATTGGCAGATATGATAGTTAAAAGATAAGTTGACAACTAAGTTTCTCCAGCTGTGAAAATGGAGCTTATTTTCACATTGTTAGCACAATCTCAAACCTCTCTACTACAATTTTGTTTACTTCAGGTTATTTTGAGAATTTGAATTTGGTTTATTAGGTTATTTACTTAATGTTAACATGTAATTTATTTTAAGTTAGCTTAATTTTATTTCATGTTTTCTAACATTACAACTATATTAAGAAGAAAAATAGCAATTTTAGCCAGGTGCTGGAGGCTTATACCTATAATTGTAACTAATCAGGAGGCTGAGATTGGAGGATCCTGGTTTCAAGCCAGCTTGGGCAGACAGATCTTCTAGACTTTTATCTGAAGTAATCATTAAAAAAACAGAGTTGGAGTTGTGTGTGGCTAAGGGATAAAACATCAGCCCAGAACAAAAGAGCAGTGCACAAGAGTATGATGCCCCCTACCGCCCCCTCCCCTCCCCCACACAGAAAATAAAATAAAATGCCATTTTGAACATTAACATTTGTTTTGCCATGAGCTCTTATGTGAATTTTAATTACTAACCATGCATCCTTAAAGTTGAACAGTAAATTAAAATATTAGGTTATTTTTATACATTGTATAATTGTCAGTTTGAGATAGAAGTGTTTATAGAAGGATAGGAACTATATATTATAAGATAGAATTAAATTTATAGCTATCAAAAGAAAAACTAAGCCTATAGAGTTGAAAAGATAAGGTTAAATAGCCAAAGATTTATATAATGATTTATTACTTAGTGTCTGCTAAACTGTAGGAATAAGAATAAGGAGTAAGTTGTAAGAATAAGATTTATTTTCATGCTCATAAACACATAGGATATATAGATCAATGGCTTTCACATGTACCATGATTAGGAAGAATTATAGTTTGTTGGTTTGATTTTAGAAATTTATCATTCTTTCCTTATAGTTCAGTAAACTGTGCTGTCTGTAACAAAACTAATTTGTAAAACCATTATCCTTTGGGGAAGATTAATGGAAAACTGAAGAATTTTTTTCTAATGTCATAAATGACCTTTGAAAAATCAAGTATTCACCAGAACTGTTATAAACATCTTTTAGCACTTCTCTGTTGAGACTTTTTTTCATTTTTCCACATGATAGATTATTAAAATAATTTCTAAAAGGAAGTAAGATACTGTTTGTTGTTGCTGTTGTTGTTTTTCCTAAAGGTCGTTTTATTGTAAAACCATAAATACAATACTGACATGAACTCCTTGAAGCAACTGATCCTCAAAATTGTTAAAAGGATGTGTTTTCACCTTGGGAGCAACCAACTGGGAATCACGGGAGAATTCGGGTGGGGGGAGGGGATACTGAATCCTGGGCTTAGCACTTCTCCTTCTGAATAAAGGAGCCTGTGGAACCTTCCTTTTCTCCCTGGGAGTGTTCCACTTTTTGGGGGAGCTGGGGGGGTGGAGCAGTGAGGAACAAAAACAGACAGATTAAAAAAAAGCATCATTTCAACAGCTTAGTTTTTAAAATTGTATTACTTGGTAAAACATTTTTTCTTCCTGTTCTTTTCCTCCATTTGACATTAGTAAAAGTTTTGAAAACATCATGAGACTGATTTGGTTGTAAATGGAGAAAATAGTACCAAAACAAAGTAAAACAATAACAACAACAACAACAAGAAAATCCCAAAGGACACACAAAAAACCCTAAAAGTTTGGGCTCAGGGGCTTATGTATTACAACAAGAACCATCAACATAACGCTCATGTTGTTTTATACCCCATACTTACTAGTCTGTAATATATTCATATAAAAATTTTAATATAACATAATTTTGGTATTTAAGTTGGCATATATTTCCCTATATTGCTAGATTCCCTATATTTGATATATAAGTCAGCATATATTTCCCTATTTTTTCCTTTTTTTTCTCAGTACCAGAGTTTGAACTCAATAACTTATACTTAGCTCAGAAGGAGCTGTACCACTTTAGCCATGCTCCCAGCCTTTTCTGCTTTGTTTTTCGCCAAGGGTCTTATGTTTTGGCCTAGGCTTGCCTAGATTATACTCCTTCTATTTTTACTTCCTGAATTGCCAAGGCTAATCTGAACTTGATCCTCCCAATTTCTGCCTCCCAAATTGCTGACTTTGTAGGCATGCACTATCAACACCCTGCCCCTTAATGTCTCTTAAAATAAAATGTTTTATACATTATGCTCCAAGTTTGTTCCTTTTTAAGTATTTGAGATCCAAACTAGACATTGTGCTGCTCATCTGAAGTTCCAGCTATTCTGAAGAATGAGACAGGGTTGCTCAAGCCCAGAAGTTTCAGGTCAATCCAGAAAAATGTAGCTAGACCCTATTTGGAAAATAAAGAAAAGAACATCCTTAAAATATTTATGCTCTAACTTAAAAGTATTTCCAGAATACTTGTAGAGTATAAGTAATCTTTGTATTTCAGGTAGCCTTAAAGTTAAAAGCATACATATGTATAAAATGCATGTGTATATATTTACATATGTACACATGTGCAGTTATCTTTATACATGTATATATATATATATTCTAGTATATGTTAAATTCTGAAATCAGTAAAATTATTTTTCTTTTTACTCCAATGCACCTTTGTACTCAAAACACTTTTTCAGTTATCAAACCTAAGACTTTTCTTCTTGTTGCTTCCTATTTATCATGTGTTTTTCCCAGTTTTACCTGTCTCCATTTGAGGTGTTGTAATAACTCTTTCATTGAGGATTAGTACCTCTAAAAGCTTCATTTCCCCCTCATTGCTCATAGTTTAGTTGTCTAGAGTTAAAAGCTAACAGTTATCTTTCTCTCAGTAAGTTGGTAGCACACTGTCTCATGTCTTCCTGTTTTCCTTTTATTTTAGTTCATTTCTAGGCAGCCCTATTTTTATTGCTTAGATTGAAACTTTTCCTTATTGTCTTTATACTTCTGCAGATTTTTTAAATATTAATTTTCATTTTATTTCTATTAAAATCTAGCTTTAGAAATACTCTGTCCTGTTTGAGGAATCATATCATTCATAACTTCTGGAAAACTTCAGTGCTGTCCTCTCCTGCTCTGTGTTCTCTCTCTTTCTCTCTCTCTCTCTCCTTGAAATTAATTCTTTTAGGTTGTTGAAATTAATTATATTACATTCTTCTATCATGCTTCATTGTGTTGTCCTCATTGTCTTCCTGTTCTTGCTATTCTTTTTTATTTTGTCATCGATTTCAAATGTGAGTACTTTGTATTTCTTTGCACTTTTCCACTGATGTTTATTTTGTTTCCTTCCTTCCTTCCTTCCCCTCTCGCTCTCTTCTTCATCTTCGTCTTCGTCTTCTGTCTTCTGTCTTCTTCTTTCTTCTTTTTTGCCAGTCCTGGGGCTTGCACTCAGAGCATGGGTACTGTTCCTTAGCTTCTTTAGCTCAAGGCTAGCACTCTACTACTTGAGCCACAGCCCTACTTCCTGTTCTTTCTGTTTATAAGGTACTGAGGAATCAAAACCAGGGCTTTTCGCACATGCCAGGCAGGCACTTTACTACTAAGCTACGTTCACAGCCACTGTTTGCATTTCTGATTGTCAATTCATAACAAATCATAGCTTGTAAAATAATGATGCTCCTTCTCCCATCCTTTCATAATGTTGGATCTCCTTATTTTCTTTCCCATTCATTCTGTTCTTCATTCTTTTGAAACTTTATTTAGAGTCAGCATCACTTTTTTACCTTTGCTTCCGACTTGCCTTTACTTTCACAACTCCATTCAATAATCTTTTTTTGGGTCTTAGTTGTATCTTCTATTTTAATCTATATTTTATATAAGATAAATAATAGATATCTATATAATATATAATTTTATCACATCAGTTTGCTGTTATTTTTATTTTGCTGTTTCTTGGGTTCTGGGTTCTTAGGTTCTTTTTGGGTGACACTGAGGTTTAAACTCAGGACCTTTTTTACTAGGAAGGGCTCTACTGTTTGATCTATACTCCCAAGCCTGTTTAATTGCTTTGGTAAATTTTTGGATAGCATCTCATATTTTCGTCATGATGGTATAACTGTGCTCTCCCACATACCTGGGATTATAATTAAGAACCACCACTGCCTTGGCTTATTTGTTGAGATGGGGTCTTACTAACCATTTTTCCAGGTTGGCCTTGAACTGCTATCCTACTGTTGTCTGCCTCCTGATTAGACATAACTGCCCTGATACTCTATTGATGTTTCTCTGTTCTTAGCTCACTATTCCTGCAGCTGTTGCTGCAGCTGCTTAAGCAGTCAAATTCTCTTGCTTTTGTAACTATATTGGTGTTCATGGTTAACATAATCATTCTATTGAGTAGGCACTGTGAGAATAAAACTTGTGGTTGGTAGTGGGAGAGCAGTTCGTGTAGATAGTTCTATAACATTTGTTTTAAAGAGGTTTTGGGTTTTTTTTTTGGTGGCACCAGGTGTTGAGCTCAGAGTTATCCCTCTTTAGATAGACAAGCATTCTACCACATGAGCCAATACCCCTAGCCCTTCAGAGAGATTTTGTATTATCTCAGTTAAGATACCATATTGTGTAAATGAAGGAATTTACACAGAAGGCATGAGGAAGGGGAGAGCTCAGTTGTATTTAATGGAGTTCAGACTCCCCTGCTGCCCCACCCATAGTAATCAATAAACATTTTGGATAGTTTTTCTGGTTTACAAAAATAAAATAACTTACTTTTTTCTTTGGAACAGGTTGAATCAAGGGATTCTTTGAATAGCATAGCCCTGAAGTACGATACAACGCCCAATGAACTTGTTCAACTAAATAAGTTATTCTCCCGAGCAGTCGTTACTGGACAGGTATTGTTATTTAATTGGGTTGGTGTTCAGAATCATTAAGTAGAAAGTATTCCTTGCACATAGTTATTAATGTAGAACATTTGAGAATAATAATTTTTGTATGCTTTGAATAAATCATGTTGGCTCTGCAAGAAAAAGTATCATTATATCTATGAATTTCCTGTTTAATACATAATTTAAATAATTGCCTTTTCAAGTATATCTTTAAAGAATTTTTTTAAATATTCAAAGCAGTTCATGCGAATTGACTAAAATTTCCAGTATTCCAAACTGTTCATTTTCTTTCCCACTTCACATATACTTTCAAGCACATTCATGTCTTTCTTCTTTGGGGTTAAATATTTTACTTTTTTTGTTTTAAATTTAACATTGATTCTTGAAAAATGTTCTATTTAAGCACAGCACTAGCTCAGCCATTTTCTGTCTTCTTACTTTTTGGGGGTTGCAGTGTTTGAGGTATAGTTCAGGCTGTTTTCAAACTCACATGTTCCAGGCTTGCCTCAAACTCAAGCTCTCCTCCCTCAGCCTGCTAAGTGCTGGTATTGCAGGTATATGCTAACATGCCTAGCTCTCCCAACCTCATCTGTACATAGTGATTCATTTTATTGATGTAGTTTATAGCTGTAGTCACAATCTTTAGGCTGTTTTTAACTTTCTTGGTAATGTTAACTTTGCTATGGTTAACACTTGTGCATATGTATGTATGTATCTATCAATAGGTATTTCACTAGGGAGAATTCCTAGAAGTAATATGGATGAAAGATATATGTACAATTTAAATTCCATTAGCTATTGCCAAATTTCCTTTAAGGTGAACACTTGTTTCTCTATCATTCTTTATTTCTTATTTCATCTGTCTGCATCAATTTAAAATTTACTTTATCAGACCTGTTATGTTCATATATATTGTTATAATATGAATATTTTTTACTTATTTCTCTTTATTGTTAAAAATTATTGTTAATGGTGCTTGCTCATAGAACATTATCTGAGTATTACCATTTCAGTTTCTCTTAATCTTTTTTTTTTGGGGGGGGGGGTCCGGTCGTGGGGCCTGAACTCTGGGCCTGGGCGCTGTACCTCAGCTCTTCAGCTCAAGGCTAGCGCTTTACCACTTGAGCCACATCGCCACTTCTGGCTTTTTTTCTTTTTGCTTATATGGTGCTGAAGAATCAAACCCAGGGCCTCAGGCATGCAAGGCAAGTGCTCTACCACTGAGCCACCTTCCCAACCCTCTCTTAATCTTTATGTGAATGTTTTACAGGTTTTATATGTTCCTGATCCTGAATATGTTTCCAGTGTTGAGAGCTCTCCATCTCTAAGCCCTATAAGTCCTCTGTCACCAACATCATCAGAAGCTGAATTTGATAAGACCACTGTAAGTATACCTGCATTTCAAAGATGGCTATGGAGACATCCCACAGTATATATGTTCATCATGGTTTTTTTGTTTTTTTTTTTTTATTTTGTGCCAGTATGGGGACTTGAACTTAGACCCATGATGGTACCACCTCTACCATTTGAAACAGACAACTACTTCCAGCATCTTGCCTAGTTAATTAAAAGTAGAGATAAGAGTCTTTGGGATTTATCTCTGTCTTGGCTAGCTTTAAAAAAAATTAAACTCATTTTAAAGGAGTTTTATGTTTCTTTGCCCTTTTCTACATAAATACTAATTATAATTTTCCATTTTCATAATGACTTTTGTTTGCTTAAAAGACAGTTCCTCCATTTAGTGGTTAGATTCCTATGAGAGATTCTTTCACGTTTCCCTGTTAACTGTACAAGATACCTTTCACCCAAGGTTTAGGATATCAAATGGTAAACCAATATTGCTAATTAATTCATACAAGTTATTCATACAAGCTCTAGTACTCTACTTTTAGTCTTTAAGAGTTAGTATTCTGCCTTTAGGCCACTGTGGCCTCATGGTATTTATTACTTAGTAAGGTTTGGATTTCAGAAAATTTCAGATTTGGATTTTTTAGTTAGGAATCCTTAATTTGCATTATATTTGTTACCTGTTTTTTTTTTTTTTCCTTGGTTGGTCATAGGGCTTGAACTCTGGACCTGGGCACTGTCCCTAAACTCTTCAGCTCCAGGCTTGGACTTGAGCCACAATGCCACTTCCAGTTTTTCTAGTGGTTAATTGGAGATAAGAGTCTCTTGGACATTCCTACCAGAGCTGGCTTTGAACTGAGATCCTCAGATCTCAGCCTCCTGAGTAGCTAGGATTATAGGAGTGAGCCACCAGCACCCAGCTATTTGTTACCTTTTATTGATAAGAATAGAAATCAGATTTAATGATTGGTACATCGATAAAAGAATTATCACAGGATTTCTAGGGCCCAGGCTCACATATCTGGGTTCCATAGGTCAGGTCTGGTCATGTGCCCAGTGTGTTAATAATGGGAAAAGTAAGTTAGACATAGGTTAGAAAGAAGAAGTTTAGTTGATGTAGAAGAGGTAAGATAGCATTTCACCTCATCTTCCCTAGAAGTCATTTAAGTTTAAACAGAAAAAGGTACTGTGGGAGAGGCACTGATAGGTATTAAACAGTCCCAATCACACACTTGATCAAGAAGCCATAGGTAGTCTTGGGCAGGACCTAGCTGGATAGTTGGGTAACTCATTGTCTCAGATTGGCAGATGGGGTCTTGTAATAAGTGTAATTGCTTTTTGGCAGATAGTAACTCTGTGCTTATCACAGAACATTTATCCTCAGTCCTATCTTTCCTGGATTCCAAGGTGGTGACAAAGGAATTACAGGAGAGAATAGCTCAGGGCATATAAAATGGAGGCAAAGATCCTGTGTATTTTCCTCCTGTCAGTGAACGTGTGGACCTAAGCAAGGAGTCAGTGCTTTTCAGCAAAAGCAGTTTTTAAGTACATGTTATAGAATACTAAAAAAACCCAATCAAATAACAGGGTACTGGAGGCTCATGCCTGTAATCCTAGATACTCAGGAGGCTGAGATCTGAGGATTGCAGTTCAAAGCCAGCCTAGGCAGGAAAAAGTCCATGAAACTCTTATCTCCAATAAACTACCAGAAAACCAGAAGTGGCACTGTAGCTCAAATGGTAGAGTGCTAGCCTTGAGCTGAAGAGCTGAGGAACAGCATTCAGACATAGAGGTCAAGCCCCGTGACCGACCAAAAAAAAAAATGCTGGTTATTTTGGAGTTGGAGTCTCATGGACTTTTCTGTTTAGTCTGGCTGCAAACTATCATCCTCAGGTCTCAGCCTCCTACGTAGGTAGGATTACAGGTGCAAACCACCAGCACTAGGCTCAGAATAATGTTTTGAGCATAGCTAGACCATTTCCCTAAGGCATTCAGTGATGTGTGCATATTGGGACATGACAAAGGAAAACTGTGCAATGATAGGCTAATGTAGCTTGAGTTTTCAATCCTAAAGTGTAATTATGTAAACAGTAGTATTTTTTTTTTCTGACTGGAAAACTGTACTTCAACCTTAAAGAACCTGGCATTCTTGGATGGCATACAGTCAAAAAAAAAGAGAAAGAGGCCAGGTTTTCTCCTCAGAGAAAATGTTTCTTTCTTGTGGTTGAAAGATGAAGAAAGTCCTGTGACTTTCTCAGTGACTCAATCAATAGTGACTCAGCTACTATCAAATATAGCCCCAAAGTCATCTTTAGTTTGAATAAATTCTTTATACTTGGAATAGATCAAAGAATGAGATAAGAGGTAGAAAAGGGCTTGAACTTTTTCCTAATGCAATAATCATCACTTTTGCAATTATTGTATGCAGCGGTTAGAAATATTCCTTTTGGACATTAAGTTTTTAAATTTATCTGATCTAATTTTTGCCTAGAATTCATTACTAGGCTCCAAAATAATATTTCTGTATAACTATCTGTACTGCTCAATTGTTTATATTTCTATATTATAGTATGTTTACATGGTAGGTGGCAACATTCATAGTAAAAAATTAAACAACTGTTTTAGAATAGTTGAGAAGACATAAATAGAATTTGTTGGTTTTTGCTAGTTTGCTACAACTTCTGATGGTTCTGCTACAGTTATTTTTTCCCGCTTGGGCCATTTATCATTTATTAGAAGATTTAAAAGGAAACATGTATTACTGTAGTTAAGCTCCCTAATTCATTTGGCAATTGGTTTTGGCATCTCAGTTTCATCTCATCATTTGGCACGCTATGGAGTTTGAATAAGCATTAAGTATCCTTAAAACTTGGAGTAGTGGTATATACCATGTATGTCTGAGTAAAAATTAAATGAAAAGATCCACTGTATTTAAATACAGCAGAATTTAATAAATTTCCATTTAAATTATTATTGACCACTTATGTAATTAGTTGTGCTTAATGAATTTGTATGTGAAACACACATCTTAGTAGCAAAATAAGATGAGTGTAAAGTTGGTACTTTGAGAAAATGAGATTAAAAAGCATCTTGTTTTGTTACTATATATGATTTGCAGTAGTCTATAACCCTTTAAAATCTAATTTCATTTAAATCCTGTTTTTTTCTTGTATGGTGTGTGTGTGTGTGTGTGTGCGCGCGCGTGCGCATGCGTGCGCGTGTGTGCGTGTGTGTGTATGCGTGCGTGTGCGGGCGCTCACGCGCTGATACTAGATGCTGTCCTGGGTGCTGTGTTTCATGGCTGGCATTCTGTCACTTGACTCATACCTCCACATCTGGCTTTTTTCTGATTAATTAGAAATGAGAGTCTCATAGACTTTTCTTCTTTTTTTAAAAAAATGTATTTATTATAAAGGTGATGAATGGGGGAGGAGGGTTTACAGTTACTTAAGTAAGGTAACGAGTAGATTTCCTTTTGAACCCTGTTTCCCAGACTTTTCTGCCTTGTCTTGATTTCAAACCATCATCCCCAGATCTCATTCCAGCTTCTTGAGTTGCTGGGATTATGTGAATGAACTACCAACACCTGGCTCTTATTCACATTTAGCATAGTTGTTTCATGGTATTTTGCACAAAACTCCTTCCACATGTATATTTTTCCTGGCCCTAGAGATTATCCCTATAATTTAGAAGGCTATATGAAAGGAAGTATAAAAAAATCTGCTCTCAAGTAAGTTGAGAGAATTAAATTGTTTAGGTCAGACAATGTTATATCAAAGTTTGATTCTCTTTAATCTCTGTCCATGAGATCAAAAAATGTCCTTACTATTCAGTAAGGGACATTTGAACTATGACACTAGAAAGTGTCATAATTTTCATAGCTCAGGAGAATCTTGCTAGTATGAAAACTGTTACACAAGTTAGTGTGTATAAGATATGAAAAGATTGGTTTGTGTTTTGTGTTTTTCTTTTTCTTTTTTTTTGTAAGGTCCTGGCTTTTTTGTGCTGTTGTGGGGTGTGAACTCAGGGCCTATGTGCTATCTCTGACCTTTTTTACTCAAGGCTAGTGCTCTACCACTAGCCACTTCCAGCTTTTTCGCTGGTTAATTGAAGAGACAAGAGTTACAATGATTCCTGCCTCAGCTAGGTTTCAACCACAATTCTAAGATCTCATCATCCTGAGTAGCTAGAATTACAGGTAAGAGCCATCTGTGCCCAGTAAATTTTTTTTTAAATTAAAAATATAACCTGTTGAAGTGTGTCATGTATGTAATTTTTGTTGGTATCCAGAATATTACAGTTTAAGGCCACTGGGTGAAATGTTTGTGAAAACTTTTTTCAACCAATACAAAAGTGGACATACCATGTGACTGTTATCCCAGCTATTTGAGAAGTATAAATAGTAGGCTCAAGGTCCAGGCTGGCCATGGTAAAAGGAGACCCTATTTGAAAATAAAGCAAAAATGCTTTGGGAATGGTGTAAGTGGTATCATCAGAGTTATCACTGTATAATAAGAAGGAAACACTGATCATTTTTTTAATTTTTAAAAATTGTTCTTGTTTTGATAGGTGTGACTCAGTATATATATACGATGACATACATAGATATATATTCATATGTATCTATGTATGTCATTGTATGTATCATTTTAACTACTTAACAACATTGTGAGAAAAGATATGTAGGCTGTCCTGTGAGAATGGTACATAGTACTGGAAAAGTTAAACTGTGAGATGGGCCTCATCCTTTGTAGAATAATATTAATAAATTCCTTGTAACTTTAAATTTGAAATAGTTCCGCAGTGAATATATTTGTTATATACCTACCTGGGAATCATAGACAAACTCTTTACTTTTTTCCTCCCCTTAATACCTGTTGGATATCTTGCTTATCAGAAGTAGTAGTTTTGTTAACAGGAGCTCAAGCATTTATAGTGATAATGTAGATGTTAATGCTTTCTAGGTAACTATATATATATTATATAGGTGAATATATGTAATTCATATGTACATCCCTTTACCAAAAATGACTACAAATGGAGTTTATATCACATTTGAGATCCTTACTCATCATGAAAACAAGACTCTCAAATTTTAAACTTTTTATATAAGAATTTTTTGACTAACTTCTACAATATGGTAAGAAAGGAAAAGTACTTATGAGGATAGCTACTCATTTGGTTTCAATAATGTATTTATTTTCTTTAGCTTTATTTTTTTTTCAATGTTCCTGTTTTTGTTTTTAAAGAATCCTGATGTAGTTTTTCCAAAAGAGGCAACTCCCTCATCCACCGTTACTGGAATTCGACCTTCAAGAGTTGTATCTTCTACTTCTGAAGAAGAAGAAGCATTTACTGAGAAATTCCTAAAAATTAATTGTAAATATATCACCAGTGGCAAGGTACTGAATGCAACATTAGAGAAATCTTTTAATCATGTCTTAGAGAATTTACATTTGAATGTTTTAACAAATTATTAGTAGTAATGAGCACAGACCTTGCTTATAGCTTAGCATCTGGTGTTCTGTTGCAGTTGTTAAAGGCATGGGATAGTACTAAATTGATTGCAGTGAGACACAGCTATTTTACTGTTGCTGGAGTATATCAGAAAGCATATTTAAAAAGATCATTACTGGTTACATTTAGACTGTTGAATTTGGCCAATTTAGTGTAATACACAAGTAGAGAGATAACTAGTATTTATCTACTGTATAAGTACATTGTTCATTTTTGCCTTAAATTATTAATTTAAGATACTTTTTAAAAAGTAAAGGAAAAATCTGTTACATTTCCAGCTCATCATGTTCTATGCTCTTCATTCCTCTGTGTGGATCCAGATTTCAAACTGGTATCATTTTTCCTTTCACCTGCAAACTTTGTTTTAATTTATAGCATAGTTCAGCAGGTGATATATTCTTTCAGTGTTTGCTGAATGTCTTACAAAAGCATTTTTCTTCTTTTTGGTAATTATATTGTCATAAATACTGTTTATTAAAAGTTAATGGAGACTGGCACTGGTGGTATCCTAGCAACTCAAGAGGCTGAGATCTGAGGATCATGGTTCAAAGCCAGCCTGAACAGGAAAGTCCATGAGACTCTTGAGATAATCACTAAAAAAGCCAGATGTGGTTCTGTAGCTCAACTAGTAGAATGCTAGCCTTGAGCAAAAGGAGACAAAATTAGCAAAATGGACAGCACCTAGTCTCAAGAGTTCAAGGCCTAGGAATAAAGAATTATTTGTGTGTGCCAGTCTTAGAGCTTGACCTCAGGGGCTATCTAATGCCCTTGAGCTTTTTCACTTAGGCTAGGACTGTATCACTTGAGCCACAGCTCCATTGCTGGCTTTTTGGTGGTTGGTTGGATGTAAAATTCTCACAGGCTTTCTTACCCAGGTTTATTTTGAACTGTGATCCTCAGATCTCCTGAGTAACTAGGATTACAGGTATGAGAAAATGGTGCCCAACTAATAATCTATTAGCCTTTTTTTTTTTTTTTTTGTATATACAGGTTCTGAGGCTGCCTTGGTGCTGTCCCTGAGCTTTTTTGCTCAAGACTAGAACTCTTACCATTTGAATCACAGAGATAGAATCTCACGGACTTCCCTGACCAGTTGTCTTTGGACCATGATTCTCAGATCAGTCTCCTCAGTAGCTAGGGTTACAGGTGTGAGCCACCAACAACCAGCTAGAATACTTTTAAATCTTGTTTTCCTCTATTCTTCTTATTCTTAATAAGATCTTTATTAATGATATTAATGTTTTTTGCAGAACAGTTTAAATGGATGAAGAATTTAATTGAAAGTAGAGTTCACACATTCTCTCACTTTCCCCCAGTTTTCCCAATGTGTTTATTATTTTTGTCATGATTAATGAGCTAGTATTCAGATAAGTCTGCAATTTTAATTTTGGGTCATATATTCTACAGGCTTAAACAAAGCATAATAGCATCTACTAGTATTGTGTAGAATCATTTATTTCATTGCTTTATAAACTGCTATGAGCCTCTCTTTATCCTTTTTTCCTTTTATCTTTCTGAGTCTGTGGTTACTAATGATCTCTCTACCATATAACTTCTTTCCAGAGGATCATCTAGTTGAAATCAAACAGTATTAATTGTGTGATTTCTGATGGGCTTCTTTCACTTAGCAACATGTTAAGTTTAAGAACGCTTCATGTCTTAAATGGCTTAGTGCCTCATTTATCTTAATTGCTGAATAATATTTCACTGTATGGATATACCACAGTTTATCTTCTTCCTCTATGAAAAGGCATATTTGTCACTTTGGGTTTTGGTACTTAATGGCTAAATCTGTAAACAGATTTTTGTAACATTTGTATACATGTAAGTTTTCACCTTGTTTAAATACCAAGAAGCATGACTGCTAATGATAAGTTCACATTATTTTTAACTTAATAAGAAACTGCCAGATGGTCTTCCAAAGGACTTATACTGTTTTGTGTTCTTTGAGCAGTGGGAATTCCTCTTGTTACACATCTTGTTGTAGTAATTTAGATGTTAGCCATTCTAATAGTTCTATAGCAGTATCTTCATTGTTTTAATTAGAAATTGCCTGAAGACATGTGATGAACATCTACCCATGAGCAAATATTTTTATATAACTTCCTTGCCATTTTCTTTATTTTTGAAAGTTAATGTAGCTATAGACGCAGTTTTCGGTTAGCAAAGTTTTCTTTCTCTTTATAAAACATTATAAAGACTACTCTTTTCTGATTTGCATTGTTCTAAAGAGAAACCTGTTTGGTTTGGTTTGTAAAAACATATTTCTTTTATTATATCTAAAATGTTGTATTTTTCACTAATTTTGAACAATTTTATTTGGGAAGGGATTAGAAATATTGCTTTAGGGCTGGGAAGGTGGCTCAGTGGTAGAGCACTTGCCTTGCATGCATGGGGCCCTGGGTTCGATTCCTCAGCACCACATAAGCAAAAAGAAAAAAAGCTGGAAATGGTGCTGTGGCTCAAGTGGTAGAGCGCTAGCCTTGAGCTGAAGAGCTGAGGGACAGTGCCCAGGCCCAGAGTTCAGGCCCCACGACCGACCAAAAAAAAAAAAAAATACTGCTTTATTGGGAAAACTCACATCCACATTACTTTTTTTTTTTTTAAAGTCCTAACAGCATTCAAGAAGAAAACACATAATAGCTTCTTTAGGGATAAAGACCAATACAAAAACAAAAAAAATAGGGACTAATGATTGCCCCAAACAAAATTTCCTTAAAAAAAAAGTAATGTTTACTTATTTTCTTTTGAGAAAAGTAAATTGTGTTTGGGTTTTTTCAGCTTCTTAGTTGTAAGAGTTTATATCTTACATCAGATTTGGAAATATTTGACCATATTTCTTAAATTCTTTTTTTCTCCTATCCCTTCTACCTTTGAAAACTTGGAGCATATTTTTGGCTGCTTAACATCTCACAATTTATAGTTCTTGATTCTCTTTCCATTTTAGATATTCCAGTTGCTGCAGTCTTAAAAAATCACTTTTTCCTACCATGTATACTCTTATCAATTATATCTAGAATACTTTTCATTTCAGTCATTGTACTTTTCATTTGTAAGTACAAACTTGGTTTCTTATTTTCCCTCTCTTTCCTTACTGTGTAAATCTTAGTTTTGATAGTGTTATATGTGTTCTTGATAATGGTTATAATAATTAAATTAATCTCTTTTCCTACCAATTTTCTCTCTTCTGAGTCTAATTTAATAGATTCTACATTATATATGTAAAATTGTATTTGCTACCTGTCATGAGGAAGAAACAGGAAGAAGTATGCACATTCATGTAAAATACAGGCTCATGCCATTTTTGCTTTACTGTAGATTCCTTCTGATATAGTATGCTATTATCCTGAGCTTGCAAATTTTAACTACTTATTGTTTGGATTTTCATTGTTATTGTTATTTTGCTGGTACGGGGGTTTGAACTCAAGGCTTCATGCTTCCTCAATTTGCTTGCTCAGATGGTATTCCACACTTGAGCATCAAATTATTTTGGACTTTTCTGACAAGGTCATCTTTTGCTGAGATTATAGACATGAGTCACCAGTGCCCAGGATAGTTGATTGTTTTCACTGGCTGTTTTAATTAGAATGGTGTAGTTTTAAAACACACACACACACACACACACACTCACACAGTCTAGTAAAATAGATTGCCTAAGAAAAGTAGTAAAATTAGCAAGAATCTTTTTTGAAATTGAAATTTGAGTATTAAATGTGATTTTCTTTTCTAATTTTAGGGAACAGTCAGTGGTGTGCTTTTAGTTACACCAAATAATATAATGTTTGATCCACATAAAAGTGACCCTTTGGTTCAAGAGAATGGCTGTGAAGATTATGGTATTATGTGTCCAATGGAAGAGGTGATGTCAGCTGCAATGTACAAAGAAATTTTGGATAGCAAAATAAAGGAATCCTTACCCGTGTAAGAATGATACTTATATTCCTGTGCAATTATTTTCCATCTAGATAGTTGACCCTAACCTAATCCTTGTTACTAGTTTTAGTATAACTACTTTTCATTTTAGGAGCTATTAAACATTTGGGTTTTTTGTTAGATATTTGAAAAGTAGCCTGTACAACTTATTTAATTTATTATTATTTAGATAATTATCAGAGGTAGTTTTCAGACCTTCCACAAAAATGCCTGAGGCTTAGCATTGTTATAGGGGAACAACATTATTTATTTGGTGATTTATGTATTTGCATTCATCCTCTCCTCTAGAAAAGTATGCAGATAAAATAAAACAGTTGCAATAATAGGAAGAGCTAGCCTTGCATTATACTGATTTATATAATAATACAGGTTAGTTACATTCTTTGAAAGGTTTACACTTGACCAGTTAATTAGTGGACAGATAGAAACAGAAGGAAAATAAATGGAGAAAACAATGAAAAATAAATGGGGAAAAAGATGTAGTATACAAGGAATGGATTATGTTGTGAAGGATGAGAGTGTAAAAGAAGATTTATGTGTAATAGAAAAGTTTCCTTACCTTCCATTAATGACTTTGGCAGTAGTTAAAAACTGTATTAACTTAAACTGATATTGATAGTTCACTATGTTTACTCATAAGGATGGGATTGGCGTTTTTGTTGTTGGTTGTGGGGCTTGAACTCTGGGCCTAGGCACTGTTTCTCAGCTCTTCAGCTCAAGGCGAGTTGTCTACCTACCACTTGAACCAAAGTGCCACTTCCGGTTTTCTGGTGGTTAATTGGAGATAAGAGTCTCACGGACTTTCCTGCCCAGGCTGCCTTTGAACTGTGATTCTCAGATCTCAGCCTCCTGAGTAGCTAAGATTACAGGTGTGAGCCACTGGCCCGGGGTTGGATTGGCTGTTTTAAAATTAGCCCATGGGCTAAGTAATTTACAAAGGAGTAAGGAAGAACATTACATGAATTGCGTTGTGAAGATGATTGAGAATAGGTAGATTGATGAGGCAGGTGTATATGAGTATATAGTCATTGACCGGTGAGCTTCTGCTGCCCTGCTTTACCATTTTTGTTATGCTATTTGGATTCTTCTGTTGTGAACAATCAGGAACTATTCCACATGTATGTTCTAATGTTTCTTCACTTTCAAATATCTAGTTTATCATTTAGAGTCTCACCTGAATAGGTTATACATTTTATTCAAATATATGTTCTGTGCCTCCAAAATAATCCTTAAGCCTTGCCTTATATATTAAAAAAACATTTTTGTACTAAATCAGATAAATAAAGTAGATGTTTTTCTCAAATAATGTCATGTGTGGTAAAAGGGAGTTTAAAGATTTGACTTTCTCCTTATACTACTTAGGAAGTTGATTTCAGTGAGCATTATCATTGGCATAAATAACCTTTGAGCATATTAGCTCTCATGTAGGTAGCACTTTTTAATATATCCTGTTTGGTTTGTAATCTTTATCTCTTACAGAAGAGTCTTAAAGTTCCATTTAAATGTAAAAAAATTCTCAAAACTGCCTAAGTACAAGAACTCTGGATGTAGTTTGAGTTAATCACCAGTAGGTGACACTATTGTATGTGAAATAACAAATTAAATGCTTGCTTTTCCTAAAAGATGAATCCAGTACAAAGGTAGCAGAGATAGGAACTGGACTCTAACTAATTGATACTTAAATCAATTTTATACCTCCTAGTAACAAAAAGTATGCATTCTTGTTACAGAAAACTTTAAAAGAGTAATAAAGTCAAACAAGAAAAAAATTGACTTTCAACTTTTCATCTTATTTTTACAAATTATTCTTTATGTGCATAAATACTATTTTCCACTGCATTTATACAATTTCTATTTTCAAAAAAACACTTAAAATCATCATTCTAAATTAATAGCATTGATAAGTAAGTTCTTTCCAGAATTTAAACTATAAACTGTCACTTTTAAACGTTAATATGTCCCTAAATAAATGTCTGTAACAGTTGAAGTCTGGATTAAATTATGAACCATTCATTTATCTGACATTTAAATGCTTTACCTAAGCAAGTTTTGTTAGAACTGTTAAGAGTTCCTATTAAGCGGGGCTCTGGGCATTCATACCTTCAATCCTAGCTACTCAACAGACTGAGATCTGAGGATCGTGGTTTGAAACCAGTCTGTGAAGGAAAGTCTGTGCGACTTTTATCTCTAATTAGCCACTCAAAAACTGGAAGTGGCATTGTGGTGCAAAGAGGTAGAGTGCTAGCCTTGAGCAAAAGAGCTCAGAGACAGTGCCCAGGCCCTGAGTTCAAGCCCTATGACTGACCAAAAACAACAACAAAATAATGGGTTCCTATTAGCCTGGAGATTTCCTGTAAATATGTTTGCCTGTGTTCCATTCAGGTTGGTTCTAAGCCTTGAATTAGAATCATATTTTTGTTTAATTTCTATTTGAATATAAATAAGCATAGCCTATATATATATATATATATATATACATATATATAATAAATCATTATATTCTTAGAGATTTAAACTTTTAATTGTAACTTTCTAGGCTTATTTTCTTTGTTCCATGAATGAGTAAATTTTAGATTAAAATTATACAAGGTTACTGACAAGGAAACCTTACATTTGTTTCCTGAAAAGTAATTGACATGATTAAATATTTATTCATGAATAAATTTTTATATCCTGTTAAGATTTGTACTTTTTCATCCTAAAAATTACTTCAGTGATATTAATGTAATATTTAGTTCATGAAAAATAAAATACTGTAATATTTAAGGTCTAATCATTTTTTATTTTGTTTGATAACAGAGAAATAGATCAGTTATCAGGAAAGGATTTCTGCCATTCAAAGAAAATGGCAGGAATGAATACCGAGGAAACAGACTCAAGAATCCGTGATGCAGGTAATGATAGTGCCAGCACTGCTCCAAGGAGCACTGAGGAGTCTCTTTCTGAAGATGTGTTCACAGAATCAGAACTCTCACCTATACGAGAGGAGCTGATCTCTTCAGATGAGCTGAGACAAGATAAGTCATCTGGCGCGTCTTCAGAATCTGTGCAAACTGTCAATCAGACTGAAGGAGAATGTTTGAGAGCCAAATCAGTGTCAACTAGTACTCCTGGTCACTTAAAATCCAAGGTTGGATATTCTACAAATGAAGTTGGGGCTTTATGTCATGATACTGATTTAAGTAATCTTGAAATGACCACTAAGGAAGATGAGGATACAGATAACATTCAGGAAGCATCAGACCGAAAAGAACAAAGAACAAGTATAAAAGATCACGCAGGCCGGGATTCTTTCCATCCTGAGAATTCATTACACCGAGAGGAAGGTGGAAAAGAAAATATAATTTGTGGAGAAACCACAGAATTTAATCAAAAGCAAACTGTTAACAAAGGCAAACAAGGAAAAGAGCAAAAACAGGACTCAGAGACAGAGGTAGAAGAGTTACGCAAACTCTGGAAAACTCATAGTATGCAACAAACTAAACAGCAAAGGGAAAATATTCAACAGGTGTCACAAAAAGAAGTTAAGCATAAAATTGCCTCCGCAGATGGACATGTAGATGGTAAGTGTTAAAGAGTCCATTTCATTATGTTTATCTTCCTTTTCCCTTACTGCTGCAAAAGATGCTGAATCTTAGCCTAGCCTGAACTGATGTTATTCCGGCAGTACAGGATGCATTTGCTGTTTTCTTATCCCACAAATGTATGTACACATAGTAGAACGTCTTTCTGAAATGTTTAAGCATTCTTTTTATTTATTTTGTGTTTTGAATGGTTTGCCATTTCTGTTTTCTATGAAATACTAAAACACACATTGGAAACTAAAGTTTTCAGACACATTGAAAAAGAGTTCATGAGGAAAACCTTCCATAAGTAGACAGTTCATAAATCTAGACACTTCCAGTGTTCCCAATTTAATAAAAAGTGAAAGTATTTAAATATCTATAAGTCTTATATTTCACACCATCTGCCTTCTTGATTTATTATTTAACAGAGTATTTAGAGTACCACATAGAAACCTAGCTTTGGAGTTAACTTTAGGTAAATGGGGATGGGGATGGTAGCTTATGTTCGTAAAACCAACTACTCAAGGTAGAAATCAGAGGGATATAGTTCAAAGCCAGTTGGAGCAAAAAGTTAGTAAGACCCAACCATCTATAAATATGCCAAGGGTGGTAGCACATATCTGTCCTGCCAGCTCTGGCAAGGCTGTAGGTAAAGCATTGCAATCTGAGGGTGACCACCTCTTGACACATTGCATTCTCTTAAAGTTTGTTCTGAAAGTACACCCAGTCTGTGATACCTTTCATTCTTCCCATTTCCTCTTAGCTTGTAATAATAAGTATTTTATTGTTACATATTAATGATAACTATAGTAGTGATGTTATTTTTAGTACACTATACTTCTGCTGAACACATTATGGATTAAAAATAAGCAGTAGCAGCAGGGCAGCAATGGCTCACGCCTTTATCCTAGCTGCTCAGGAGGCTGAGATCTGAGGATCACAGTTTGAAGCTAGCCCAGGCAGGAAATTCTTAGACTCCTGTCTGCACTAACCTACAAAAAGAGCTGGAAGTGGAGCTGTGGATCCAGTGGTAGAACACTAGCTTTAAGCTCAAAAACTCAATGACAGTGCCCACACCCAGAGTTCAAGCCCCAGAAATGTGGGGGTAGGGGTGGAAAGGCTGTAGCTCTGGGAAGTTAACAAGTTAGCAAATATTTGTTACATTCTTTTGTCTATTAATGCAATGCACATATTACCCTTTCCTTTTTTTCCTTTTTTTGTACATTTTTATTGTTATTGTAAAGGTGATGTACAGAGAGGTTACAGAGTACATTTTTTTGAACCATGTCCCCTTTTCCTCACTCCCAGTTTTTCCTTCCTGTCCCCACCCACAAGTTATATAGTTTTCAACATAATGTCTGGTGAGTATCACTCCCATCTCTGTGCCTCTCCTTACCCTATCAAAGACAGATAAATGAACAAACAAGTCAAAAGAAAACAAAAACAGCCACAATGAAAAAAATTTCTTGTTTCCATTTCCTGGAGTATATTTCAATATATATTATTTTAATATGATCAGATGCACATAGGTATTGTGCGTTTGTGATCCTCTCCTAAGAATATCCTGGTTTTGTATCACTGTGGGAAGAGACCTGTATAATTTATCCTGTCCCAGTGTTTGTTTGCATGTTTGTTTTTACCATCCAGTGTGTTTACTTAGATCTACAGGCACAATCTAGCTTCCACAAATGATGGCAACTATACAACCTGTTTCTTTGGGTTTGGCTTCACTTAATAGAATTTTTTTTCCAAGTTTTTCCATTTCCTTACAAATGGTGCACTATCATTTCTTCTGATTGGAGAACTCATTTTTTGGTCTCTGATTTATAGTCTGTGCAATTGCTTGGCTTGATTTTTAGTTGTATGTATTCCCCTTTTTTAATGGAAAAATTTAAATTCATTTTTAAATAAAATTCAAAACATTATTGTCCTAAAAATTCATGAGGGCTAGGAAGGTAGCTCAGTGGTAGAGCACTTGCTTTACATGCCTGAGGCCCTGGGTTCAATTCCTCAGCACCACATAAGCAAAAAGAAAAAAAGCCGGAAGTGGCACTGTGGCTCAAGTGGTAGAGCACTAGCCTTGAGCTGAAAAGCTAAGGGACAGCGCCCAGGCCCAGAGTTCAGGCCCCACGACCGGACCCAAAAAAATTTTTTTTAAATAAAATAGAATAAAAATTCATGAAATAAAGTTTATAATCTTGTATATTTTTAATAATGGTAAATAATAGATAAAATTTACCACTTTAACCATTTTTAAGTTTATAATTCAGTGGCATTAGGTATGCTTATAATGTTTTGCAGCCATTCCCAACATCCCATCTCTAGAACTTTTTCCATCTTCTCAAACTGGATCATTGTACTTACTAAATAATAACATGCTTTTGTCTCTTCTTCCTAGAGTCCTTGCTTGCCCACTACCATTTCACTTTCTGCCTCTGACTTTAGGTGCTTAATATAAGTGGAATATCCAATTGGCTGTGTGTGTGTGTGTGTGTGTGTGTGTGTGTGTGTGTTTCTGTGTGTGTGTCTGTGTGTGTGTGTGTGTGTGTCTTGCCTGTTCACTTAACATGATGCCTTCAGCATTCATCTGTCTTAGAGCATGTGTTAAGTGTTTCCTCCCTTTTTAAACTGATGGATTTAATTGTATGTATATACCATATTTGTAAATTCATTTGTTGTTGGACACTTGAGTACTGTCTACTATTAAATAGATTCGTAATAGTTGTAGTTTACTTCGGATGCTCTAATAATACTCCTGTGAAAATTGTTGTGCAATTACCTGTTTGGATTCCCGTCTTTCAGTTTTTTTTTTGAGTATGTACACAGAAATAGAATTGCTGGATCATAATGTAACTTTTTTTGTTTATTTATTTTGCCAGTCCTAGGGCTTGAACTTGGCCTCTCTGTGCTCAAGGCTAGCGCCCAACTACTTGAGCCACAGTGCCACTTCCAGCTTTTTCTGAGTAGTTTATTGGAGATAAAAGTATCTCACAGACTTTCCTGCCCAGGCTAAGTTCAAACTGTGATCCTCAGATCTCAGCCTCCTGAGTAGCTAGAATTACAGGTGTAAGCCATTGGCATCCGGCTCAGTTTAATTTTTTGAATTTAATTATTTTCCATAGTGGCTGTAGTAGTTTCTATAATGTGTATAAAGATTTGGTTGAGTTTATAAAGTACTAAATTTTCTTTGCATCATCTAGCTTAATTTGAAGATCTAAGGATTGTATTAATTAGATATTAAAGGATACATCTACATTAAGCAAGCTGTATACAAGATTAACTATTTCTTCTGTAATCTGTTTTATTTTGCTGAATGAATAGTTATTAAAGAACATTTAAGAAATGGAGGAAATTTCTAGACATTTTATAAAAATTAACCGGAATTTTTCCCCTAGATATAATCACTGTTAACCTAATTGTCTTTCTTACAAGCTTTTGAAAATATGTGTATTTATATGGATATACATGCACACATATATATATGTAATATATACATTTATATTCACACATTTTTGATGTTTATATACATCTGTACCGGTTATTTTTAATGTATCATTTTACTATATGTATTATTTTTGTCTTTGTTCACTTATAATTGATCACAAAGATTTTCTTATATCTTAGTCACTTCTAAATGTGCTTTTAATAGTCATAATTTATGCAGCCATTTATATTATTTAGGTATTGTTATTAACAATTCATATTGTTACAATTTTTAATGTAAACAAGTAGTATGAAATTTGATAGTCATTGCATATGATAGTTGCTGTTTACTGTTTTGAAACTCTTGAAAAGGATAAAATTATAGATTCTCTTCAAGCATGTAATGTGGTAGACTAAATAGATATGTTGAGGAAGTTCATTTATAGAGTATTAAAACTACTGAGAGGAGAGTAAACAGTTTTTAGGTAGGTATTTCTGTAGGTACTATTTGTTGTTTATTTTTTAATAGAAGTAAAACTAGTACTAGGTAACTAATTTTAAGGAATTTGATACTCTATATAAGAAAATAATAAGTTTTCTGATCTTTGTAATATAATAAAAGCTGTATTACAAATATAAAACTATGGACTGTAACTGTGGAAAGAATGGCAAGCAGTCTACCTTTTAACCAGGTAGGAATCCTGGGACTAGGTAATATGCACTTTGCATAATATTATTCAGAAATAAGCCATGGCTATACCCCCCATCTCTAGAAGTACAGTTTCTTCCACAGAGTGCTGCCCTAGCAAGCTAATGTCCAGATCCCCCAACCATATTGTCAGATGCCGAAATTACTTTAACATCTCTTGTTGAAAGAGTTAGAGATACTCCAAACATAATTAAGTATCCAGACTGATGATTTATCACACTATCATATATATGTGTGTGTGCATATATATATATATATATATATATATATATATATAATATGATGTTCCTAAAATCATCGAAGTTTTGTCTTATATCTATATTAAAATCTTTAAAGTTAAGTGAGCTTATTTGATATGAAAAACTGAGAGCATATGTAGAAAATGTTATATATATTATTAAACATAGCTGTTTTTATAAACCAATTTAATTTGAAAGTTTCAAAAGGTTTTTCATCATTTTCTGGTATCTTTAGGCATAATTTCAGATAGTTAACTTGATTATGTTTGCTTAATCTTCCTGTTTCCATTACTTTACCTTTCATGAAAAAAGTACAAGCTACTTAAATCTAATTACTGAATAATAGTAAAATGAGTTTTTATTCTGTGCTTACAGTTTGGAAAATAAAACTAAATTTTTAAAGCATGATACATGAAGATGAATAAATACCTTCTCTTATATTATTTCTAGGTTCTTCCCTTTTAAAAGAAAAGAGAAGGCATCGATTACATAAATTCTTATGTCTCAGAGTTGGAAAGCCAATGAGAAAAACATTTGTATCTCATGCTAGCGCTACTATGCAACAGTATGCACAAAGAGATAAAAAGCATGAATATTGGTTTGCAGTGCCACAAGAAAGGTAAAATAAACCTCTTAAATAAAATTGTTGAAATCATAGTTATGATTCCTTAAAATTATTTTGTATATCAAAATACTAGTGGTAAGATCCTTTAAAGTAAGCAATTTCTGATGTAAAGATCACACTATGGGCACAGTGGCATGTGCCTATGATTCCAGTACTCAATATACTAACTCAGGAAAATGTTGAATTTAAGGCAAGCCTGACCTACATGATTGGACCTCATGTCATTAATAAATAAGTAAATACTAATGTTACATCTTATTTGAAGTCGTTTAACTTCTATTTTTAAAAGGTGATTCATGTCATCTGAAGCAAAACCAGAATTATGTTTTATATATTTAACTTACCTCATTTTAGATCTCATTTTTATAGTTCATTGCCAAAGAAAAAAATATAGATGAATGAAATAGAAAAAAAATCTGGTGTAGAAAAATATATATTGTCAGCTGGATGGATGCCAGTGGTTCCTACTATCTCAGGAGGCTGACATCTGAAGATCCTAATTCAAAGCTATCCCTAGCATCATTAAACCACCAAAAAACAAGAAGTAAAGCTGTGCTCAAGTGGCAGAGTTCTAGCCTTAAGCAAAAACAAAAAAGCTCAGGCAAGTACAGCACCCAGACTCTTAAGTTTAAGCCCCAGAACCAGAACCAAATTTTTTTTTTAAAAATCCCTAATTTCTAATATTTTATTTGTTACTTCAATGCCAGTCTTGCAACTGTTTATACTTCAAGGCCTACTTTACTTTGCAAAGTAGAAAAGGCATTTTACAGAAAGATAACTTGGTCCTTGATCTTACAAGATACTTGGTCTTACACAAATTATTATTATTATTATTATTATTATTATTATTATTTTGGTCCGGTCTTGGGGCCTGAACTCTGGGCCTGGGCACTGACCCTCAGCTCTTCAGCTCAAGGCTAGCGCTCTACCGCTTGAGCCACAGTGCCACTTCCGGCTTTTTTCTTTTTGCTTATGTGGTGCTGAGGAATCGAACCTAGGACCTCAGGCATGCAAGGCAAGCGCTCTACCACTGAGCCACCTTCCCAGCCCCTTACACAAATTATTATGAGTGAACAAAAACATAAAAGTTGAGAATGTAAAAGTTTGATTCCCTTAGAATTATTTTGTGTTCATGTACCTCTTGAAAAGCCATTATATTGTTGGCTTAAATACTACTGTTTTTAAAGATACAATGATAAAATTCTTCCTTTTCTCTCTACAAAATATACAAAACGACATGAATACTTTCAACAAAACGTTTTTAACAGTATAGGATATAATTTGCTTAATTCATCAACATTTGAAAAGAATAGAACAAATTTGCCACTGATCGTGAAGGTGACTATAATAAAAATAACAATATAATATAAAAGTTTAGTTTTCTACTTATTATTTAAAAATTAACTACTAGGATTCTGAATCTATCATATATGTACAACTTACAGAAATGGCTGTTGATAGTGACAAATTATCTGAAAGAACAAACAATATTTTAATACCCTTCACTACCCTTCATGAGTAATAAGCCATTTGTGATATATCATTTTTAGAACCATTACTGTGTCATGTTAGATGAAGGTTTTATAATAATTATTCATAATAGTTGAAGCCAGTTAAACATAAAAATTTTAAATGTATGCTTTCTGTTTAAATAATGTTTATCAGAGATGCAACAATGATTGCTTTCTATAGTTAACAAATAGATAAAGAGAATAAGATTATAAAAGATCATCTGTACCTAAACTAAGAATTCAATATAATTTTTTGATATCAGAAAGAAATTAAGTACACTAAATTTCTATCAGTTTGGTAAAATGCTGTGCAGTGTCCAAATACTGAAGTACTAGTTGTTTACTCGTATTTTGATCACTAGATAGGTGTGTGAATTAAGCCAAAGTTATGGGCCAATTTGTTTTCTCATCACTAAGGGCATGTCAAAGAAAATCTTAATTTTTTTTAAAACAACCTGCCAGAATCGGAGCCAAATAGATTTTTAATACCTTGCTGATAGTGGGCTTTTGTCTTTATATGTATGTTTTAAAAGTCTAACTTTATCAAGATATTTTACTAATGTAACTATATAATTCTATCTGGTGACATTAATGCTAGATCTATTAATAGTCCTTTGTTCTAACAGGACAGACCACTTGTATGCCTTCTTCATTCAGTGGAGTCCAGAAATCTATGCCGAAGATACTGGCGAGTATACCAGAGAACCTGGATTCATTGTAGTAAAAAAGATGGAGGAGTCTGAAACAAATGAAGACTCTACTAGTCAAGCAACAGCCAGAGAATGGGAGGTAAGGAGAAAAATGAAAACATTTCACTCAATGTTTTTCTTTTATAATAGCCTACACTTCCAGTGATCTTCGCATGAAAGTAATTTTTGGAAGTTCAGGGTTCACTGTCCTTGTACATGTGTGCTTATTGGATGAACCTTGGCTGTAACTTTGATACTTTGATACTTTTGCGTTAAATACTAGAAAAGCAGTCAATGAGAAATAAAATGCCTACTTGTTTGTATTTATTTAGCTTAGTAAAGTCTGCTATGGTGGAAAGGAAATGATACTGTTTTTTATAGTATGTATTGCAGATTTGATTTAGTTTAATTTTATCTTTTGCGTGCAAGAGGTACAGCAGCTATTTAACACATGAAGGCAAATTAGCAATCTTTTCCAAGTTTCAGACCTAATAAACATCATCTTGACTTGAGTTTAGTAATAATAATGTTAGGGAAATAAGGTGATGCTAATTTTATAATGCAATAAAATTTTACGTGTTTATACTTAATGAACTTGCTTAAATAGACAATACTAATAAGCTTTTTGTATCCCTTTTTAGATGAATCTTTTAAGATTAGATTATCTCATTTTATGTGCTTTGTCTTGAAAGCTTGATGTGGTGACACTATCTTTTGGTGGTTGTTGCCTAATCTTTTTTTAATATATTACAAAATATAGAGCAGATGCTAAAATGTGATAATAAATGAAAATTCTGTTGTTCATTTGGTTAGTTTGTGATTGTTTATGTGATATGAATTTATCATGCATGTACTTAACATGTATAATGATTGAACATATACATGTTTTGTCTTTGTTTAAAATGTGGTCCTGATTTTGAATATGTCTAAGTTCTTTTGTGTACTACATACACTTTTCATTTTTATGAATTCTTTTATACTTAAATTAACTACAAGGGACCTAAATACTCATCAGCATGAGAACAGATAAATTTTGGAATGCTAATCAAATTCCAAATAATCTAATAATAGAATGAAAGATCTGCTGTTATAAGCAACAACATAGATAAATCTCAAAGGTAATATATGATATAAAAAGTGACCAAACACAAAATACTGTGTAGTATTTCTATTCAAATTAAAGTCTGTAAGTGTTTATAGCAAGGATACTCCTTTGTATGGGACTTGGCAGTTTATGAAAAAGTTACTTTTCAGTTTTAATGAAGTTGTTTTTGTGTATTTGAAAAGGAAGTATTCTAATTGCAATTTAGTAAAATGTCAGGCAGTACCTAAGGGAAAATGTTCACAGTGTTCCTTAGATCTTAGCTTCTTAAGTAGTAAGATTACAAGCATGAGCCACCAGCACCCAGCTTTGTGTTCCTTTTTTTTTTTCTTTTTTTGTGGCCAGTCCTGGACCTTGAATTCAGGGCCTGGGCACTGTCCCTGAACTACTTTTGCTCAAGGCTAGCACTCTACCACATAAGGTACAGAGCCACCTCTGTGGTACTGATCTGTTTATGTGGTACTGAAGAATTCAACCCAGAGCTTCATGTATGCTAGGCAAGTACTCTACCACTAAGCCACATTCCCAGCCCTGTGTTCCATTTTTTTTTTTTAACGACTGATATGAAAAGAAATTGCTTTGGATTACTGCCTACTTTTTTCCCTTGCTTGGATAAAAAGGTATGGTCTGTTCAATTTTTAGTTTCTGAGACAATGTGTTTTTTAGACATTTGATATTACTTACATTTTCTCAATCAAACCTCATTATTTACTTAAGTATAAATATAAATTTGTTGGCTGCTTACTCATAAACATCAATACCATTATTCAAAACACTTTAGAATCTGCCTTCTGCTTTTGATAGTTTTTAAAACTATTTACCTAGTCTTAGTTTGATTTGTTTCTAGTGCTCTCCATTTTAATTATTTAAATTTATACATTTAGTATCTGGCCATGTTATGCACATAATCTAGTATGTCATCTGACCCAGGTGGCTCATTTGTGTAATCAATTTACTCCAGAGGCAGTGATTGGATGATTGTAGTTCAAATCTAGTTCAGGCAAAAAGTGAGTGAGATTCCATTTCATCAAGCATTGAGCGTTTGCTGTTTCACAGCTATAATCCTAGCTGTGTTGGAGACAAGTAAGAAGATCACAGTCATAGACTGGCCAAGATAAAAAGTGAGACCCTATCTGAAGAATAATAACCTAAAGCAGAGAGGGCTAGCAGTGTGGCTCAGGTGAAGATGTTGAGTTCAGAATCTCAGTTCTTCCAGGAAATAATCCTTTTTATGTTATAACTTAGTAGTTTGGTTTTTAAAATCTATGTGATAATTGTCTTGTGGGCACTGTTCTCTCTGCATACTTGTCATTAAGGAGAATTGTTACCATAGTCCCAGAGAAGATAACCTCTGTGGTACTTCTGTAACTTGTAAGAGGCATCATTCCAAATGGCTGTAATTGTCTGGTTAACACCTCATTTCCTAAACTACCAGATAATGAGTATTCTTGTGTTCATTTTAATAAGCATTGTTGTTGTGATTATTAAAGCACAACTAATAATAAAATCATAATTGAGTTATTTTAAAAATCTTTTCCTGATCTCTTAGCCTTAGTCAGCAAAATCCACAAAGGATTCTTTTTTGTGCAAAAATCAAGGTCTTTTTTGTTAAAAATACTATATAGAGAGTACATTTCGGAAAAATGGAAGTGGAAAAGGTGATCAACAGAATAGGCTAGGCTATGCCATACATTGTAGTTTTTGTGCTTTTTTATATCACATACTTCATTTTGGCATATATATAATATTTTTTCATTTAAAAATGTTAGACCCCCTAATGTGTTTTTCCTTTTGCTGATGATTCTGTATTCTTTACCTTATATGCAGTATGTTCATTTGCATATCTAGGAGGGGAGGGTGGGATTTGGGCACAGAATCTGAGAAAAAAAAGGGTGAAAAAGTGCAGCAGTGGAGCACACTGGACACGATGACAGTGACCTATACAAAAAAACTCATGGGTGGAGATGAGAGGGAGGGAATGGGAGAGAATGAAGAACAGATGCCTCTGTACAAAAGGAAAGGTACTTATTACCTGACATATGCAAATGTAACCCCCTCTGTATATCACCTCTATAATAACAATAAAGTAATTTATTTACTTATTTATTTTGTCAGTCATGGGCCTGAATTCTGGGCTTGAGCACTGTCCCTGAGCTCTTCTGCTCAAGGTGAGCACTCTACCACTTGAGCCAGAGTGCCACTTCTGGCTTTTTCTGTTTATGTGGTGCTGAGGAATTGAACCCAGGACCTTACGCATGCAAGGCAAGCACTCTACCTTCTACCACTGAGCCACCTTCCCAGCCCTAATTTAAAAAAAAAAAAAAGGTTCTTCTGGGCACTGGTACTGCTCATGCATATAATCTTAGCCACACAGTAGGCAGAAATTACGATAGATTTTATTATGTCATCCCCCTCCAAAATTATATAATATTACTGATGGATATATTATGGGGAGTTTCTGTTGGGAGGATTAGAGTACTGTTTACCTCCAGTATTGGAGGTATCCTCAGTGTATGTTTAGGGAATTTTTTTTTTTTTTTTGGTCAGTCTTGGGGCCTGAATTCTGGGCCTGGCACTGTCCCTTTGCTCTTCCGTTCAAGGCTAGCGCTCTTGCCACTTGAGCCACAACAACACTTCCAGCTTTTTCTGCTTATATCATGCTGAGGAATAGAACCCATGGCCTCATGCATGCAAGGCAAGCATTCTACCACTGAGCCACCTTCCCAGCCCCTGTTAAGAGGATTTTTAAGGCCTTTATAGTTGATAGTGTGCTGCTGAAAGATGTGGGCACGGACCTAAATTTGTGTCTAGTAAGGTCAGCTGAGAGTAGTTATAGGTGGGGAGAGGGAGCATAGTCATTCATTGTAGGATATGTGCACTCTGGCCTGTGCAGACTGGACTGTGGAAATGTGGGTGGGTACAATGTAGGGCTTAGAAGAGTTTGTCCATATTTGAGGAGGTGGTTTTGCATAAATACACAGCAGACTAAACATAGAGGGACAGGCTTTCCTCAAAATGGAAGAAATATCAGACATTGATATTGTAATTGAAATTCAGCTCCAGGTAATATTCATTTACATTTAGTTCAAATGTATCTGTAGTCTACACTTAATCTTTTTTTTTTTTTTTTTTGGTCGGCCGTGGGGCTTGAACTCTGGGCCTGGGCACTGTCCCTCAGCTCTTCAGCTCAAGGCAAGCGCTCTATCACTTGAGCTACAGCGCCACTTCCGATTTTCTGGTGGTTTATTGGAGATAGGAGTCTCATGGTCTCTCCTGCCCGGGCTGGCTTTGAACCGCGATCCTCAGATCTCAGCCTCCTGAGTAGCTAGGATTACAGGCGTG